AAGGAGCCTTGGTTCAAATCTCACAGTACATTTAGTTGATTCAATTTTTATTTTTTTTAATTATTAAAAACTTACTTTAGGATAACATTATCCTGTGTTGTAAGGACGTTTTACATACATAAATTTCACGTGGACAAACACCCAGATGCGAAACAACTATCTGTGGTCGCACACATAGTTGTCCCGTGTGGGGATCGAACGCACGACTCCCGACGTCGTCATCAAAAGTTTACATCGATCACTCCCTATCCTTGTTTACCCTACGCGGTAACTTTATTGATTCATTGTATAAAAATTTTTGACGTGTGTTTCTAATAAGTGTTCGAATTGCAGGATTATAGAAAGATGACTGAGGCACGTTAAAATACGTTTATTTAAGTATTATCTGGAAACTGTTGCAAAGTATTTTAATATAATTTGCATGTATTTAAATATTACCTTTTGATCTACATAATATTATACACGAGTTATCTGTAAAATTTCGCGAATGAATCGTGTATTTTTCCTTGAAAAGTTCGGGTACGATCCTAGCCGGGCTATGATAACTTAAAAATTAAATTTTCGCTATAACTGCGCTGTAGGTATTTATTGGAAGTTCACTGTCGCAGCCGTCCGAGTTGCCTCGAAGTGCGGGCCGAACTGAAAACCGGTGTCGGGATCAGAACAAATTTTAGTTACTGTGTCTCGACTTTTACAGAGTCCCGTCCGTTTCACGGTCTTATGCTGCTACAGAGACCGTCACTTACTGTTATTATTTTGTTTGTTTTTTTGTTATGTTTACATTTATTTTAAGTTTTTGTGTGGTTACAAAAAATCAATTATAAAATGAATACAGAGCGAGATTTGAAGTTGGTTTTGTTTTGCGTTATAAAAAAAACTTGTGTACTAGTGTACTTGGTTTGAAAAGAAACCATCATTTAATATTATAAATACGTGATATTTACGACGCCATCACCTTGTTATATTTCAGTACAAACAGTACATAGTACGCGAAGGTCGGATAGGAGCGTAATGAATGCACCGATCGTAATTGATAAGGAAGTGCATTGGAGCGGGGTAAATATTATCGCATAAGTGAACCTTTAGTCATAAACTGTACGGAATTTATAACGATCTCGCGTGTCGAGATTGATCGGAGTTGAAGACACGTAAGGCAAGCGTCCTAAAATGACGGTCGCTTTCAATTCGGTGTGCTCAAGCGAACAGAGTTCAAATCTCGGTGGTACACGCTGGCAATACCGAGGTTTAGACTGGCAAAAGCCAGGAAATCGTTTCTTGGTAGATATATTAACTTATCTATGTATTAATACGTATTAATACTTGAAGAAATCACTTCGTAGCCCTTTTAACCATAATTGCGCGTACTGAGGAGTATGAAATTTCCCACACTTATAGTTTATATAGAGAAGAAGTGCAGAATACCAATATTTTTTTAAAAGTATACATAAAAAATAGAAATCAATATAGAAAACATTACACACACTACCATGTATTTGACACGCACACTCATATACTCTTTTGTTTATTGCTTTTGAGAAAATATTAATACTGTTCGAACGTTCGAACTTGGTCGAACTTCGACCACTCGGCATCCACTTTTGTATAATAAAGTAGATGACGGCCAGAAAAAACTACCAAGCTATTTTCTGATTGTTTCCCGCTATGGACTCCCCGGATAGTTTAATTGGTATCCGGGTCAGTCTTCCGGTTCTGAATTAACACTAAAACTTATGTTTGTATATTTAAATGTATGTTTATCTTAGAACACATGTTTATATTTAGATGTCGCGTTGGCCGCATATAATATATTTCAATTTATTTTTTATCTAGATAATGTTGGAAAACAATTGGCAAAAAATTATTAATTTTAAGTGCTGAATTATCACGTGCTCTACGGTGAAGGAAAACATCGCGAGGAAACCAGCATATTTTCGATATACCTAATTTAAAAAAAAATATATTTCCAAGAAATGTGAAATTCGCCAATCCGCAGTTAGGTCGCGTGGTAAACTATGCCATCTGTAACGTGAGGCTGTTGCCCAGCAGTGGGATATATGTAGGCTTTACTACCTATGTATAAATTAACACAGATCCTGAACAGTAAGTTTTGTTTCAACTGTACTGACCTCGCCATGGTCTCAGTTATGTACAAATCATCCCGTGGTGACTGTGTACCCGGTGAACGGTTAACGTTCTAACGATATATTAAAGCGTAATGAATGACAACCGTACTTGAATGATTATTTCAATTCGACCGTCTTGAATGAATGAATGACTATTTGTTTAGTTTCAACAACCACAGTTTTACAATTAAAAGAAAATATATCTACTATTTCTACATGAAACCAAATAGGTGTGTACTCGGTACGATTTACCTATTTTCAGTGCATACTTAAAAATAAAATTATAAATAACAAACTAGACTAAGATTAACACATAGTCTAGGCTTCGCGAACCTTTGTCCGCGGAAACAAACTAGTTTGCAAATTGTAGCGATGCCTATTTACTCTGCGGCGTAATAGATCTTGCACACTGTCAGTTGTGAGTTCGCCAAACGTACGGTCGTAAACGTAAACATACGTATTATACAGTATTGTAATATATTTCCGGTCTGCGTACTATATAGTGTTACAAAATAATATATATTACGCAATAATAAAATGTAATATAGGTAGGTACATGTATTTAAAATGGATGCATAAATCTTTCCTTAATTTTCTTCCTTTTTCATTAATCTTAATAAATTTCTCGATTTTTTCTATAACATTTTTTCAAAAGGTAAATAGGTAAAAGATACACATTTTTTATATTATCTGTAAAATAATACACGTGGTGTATTTTTTGTCTAGCTTACTTTTAAATAAGAAAAACCGGCCAAGTGTGAGTCGGACTCGTGCACAATGGGTTCTGTACCATTATCTATAAAAGCGACATAAAATCATGTCTATTGTATGGCTCATAAATTTTTTTTATTCTGTTTTTTATGATGTATTTGCTGTTATAGCGGCAACAGAAATACATCATCTGTAAAAATATCATTTGTCTAACTATCACGGTTCATGAGATACAGCCTGGTGACAGACGGACAGACGGAAAACATTCAGACAGACAGACATCGGAGTCTTAGTTAAAGGGTCCCGTTTCAACTTAGGGGACGGAACCCTAAAAACTAACTATAATGAATTGGAAAATGTCGGCAACCGTAGTCCGTCGTTTTGCAGTATTGCCGTTCCCGTCCGTTTAATGCAACGGAATCGAAGAGAGCTAAACTATCGCGTAACGGCGCAGCATCACGCCGTTAATCCCACACGGTACGGGCGTACTGTTTAAGGCTTCTAATTGACGGGCAAGTACTCGCTGCGAAGAGAGCCTTTATATTTACGTTCCGTATCGCGAGTGATCACCGGCTCGAGGCGTCTTATATATAGATGCCGATTTCGCTGCATGATTAATGGTGCTGTTATTTAGTACTCCGAATCCTTGCTAATACTATAAAAGTGAAAGTTTTTATGTATGGATGGATGTTTGTTACTCGTTCACACAAAAACTACTGAATAGATTGTAATGAAACTTTTCAATAATACATCAGAATAACACATAGACTATAATTTATAAAGATATTGTGTGATAAGTGTCAACTAAGTAGGAAAAAATTCAGCCATCTGCGAGATATTCTGGTGTATAATATAAAACTCATTGTTAATTCCCTTTGGCCGCGCGGGTGAACAGCTAGTATATTATATTTCCGTAGTACGTATTTCACACCGTTACTCTCGATACGTTGAAATTATGTTACATCTTGAGGAAACCTGCATTTCGAAATATAATAAAAATATTTCGAAGGCATGTGCAGTTCGCGGTGGGGTAGCGTGGTTGACTATGCCCTAATACCCTTTGTCCTTTGGAGGCCTGTGCCCAACAGTGGGATAAATGTAGGCCGTTTACAATATATTTACTGTCTCCAAATTGTCAACCATTGTGACGGTAAAACGATCGTGACACATTCGTGGTCAGAAGAAAGTCTTACTTTATAAAAACAGTTGACCACCCCTGACCGATATGATTCTTTACCGATTCTTATGATGCTGATGAGTACACCATCTTGGAATACATCGTCACGCACCATCGTCAGATGATATAGTGGTCACTAGCCAAACCGCGATAACAAAATATTGATAAAACATTTAGGACGGTCCTCTTGTTTACGTAAGATACGATCACAATGACGCTCCTCCGCGTTTCGATGACTGCGAATGACATTTGTTTCGATAACTAATTGCAATATGATTCATTTGAAAAGGTGTTCCCTTTCAATTTAATCATAGTGTTGATTAAATTAAAAGGGGAAAACTTAACAATATTTTAAACGTTTGAAATCTCGCGTAACCTCGATTCGATTTCTTTAAATACTTTATATAAACCAACTTTGGGAGTACGGTAAACGATAAGCCTGATGTTTTTTTTTTTTAATTCTGAATGGCCGTGGTGACAATTGCCCGGTTAACTCACTAACCATAAAAAAGGAAGAACGTGGTATGTTCTCAGATAAGAAGACGGTTTGTTCAAGGGGCCTTTAAATCCGTAGGGTCAATAACATTTTTTAACATATTAACATTTTGAGTCCAACAAAACTTTACACAGTCCATGGGACATCACCCATCATCCTCCTGTCCTTATTCCACCTAGGTGGGTTCGCCACAACATTTGTATTATGCTGTAAGCGGTTTTGGCTACGTTGTTAACTACCGGCTTGCCTGAGGTCAACCCTCTATGGGAAAAAAAAATGCCAGATCTGAGACGATTATATCACATAAATACTTGTCCCGTCTGGGAATTGAATCCACGAGCCTCGAAGCCGAAGCCAATAGCTTAGCAACGGCCCCATTGAGTCATGTCACCATGAGACGTCACCAGACAAAGATGCCTAGCTAAACCGCGGTTTGGTTAATTGACGAAGTTTTATTGGAATTGTGTGTAAAATGACGATTTTCTTGTTACAGTTAACCTCAATGGGGCGTCTAAAGTGGACATATCACACTTCGACCTGCTAAAAGTTCTTGGAACGGGAGGTGAGTACACAAAAACGTTTTCTCAGTTTTATTTCTACAATAGCATTAAGTGCGGGGACGATATTGTTGGAGAGAATAAGAATAAAGTCTGCTTTAAATATCGCTCTCTGTAGCTCGGAGAAATAGCAGTTGCCATTTTAGACGGTTATTTGTATAACCTGTAACCAATTATTCCGGATCTTTGTTGTTTTCTGTTAAATTTGTCTTTATAAAACACCTCTGTGACAAAAAAGTATCCTTCGATGATGTTTCCCAACAATTTAAGTGTATCAAATGTATCATTACTTCCGTTTTTATGTAGTACTTGATTTTAGGCTTTGATAGAACATTCGAGAGTTTAGCAGAAGGCTTATAAAACTTTCTATTCTGTAATTGTTGTGGGCCATCGCAATTGTTCCCTTGATACGGAAAGTTGAATTTGTTTACGAATGTTAACAGCACTGAATACAAAAGAGGTATGGTCGTACAACCGATAATATTGTTTGAATGAAGAGCAGCAAGTATTACAATATAATGGGCATCCGTTTGATTTACTTCTCGTAAGATTGAATTTATTTGAATTTCAATGTATCAATCAAATTTAGCGATTTATTTTAAGTAAAGTATCAAACTGTCTATAAAAGTAAAAGCGATATCTTGTATAATAAACCTTCACTTTTTTATATATTTGGTTCGATCTATTGAGGGCAGTTAAGATTATTTAAAATATTTTAATGTCGATGACTGAAAGTTTAATCCAAACCTAATTAAACTCTAGAAAACTTGTGATAGAGGTTATCAACTGGCTAGATTGCTAATGAAAGCACTATGAAATATGGTGTCAAATGTTGAATAAAAAAACAATGAAAATTTTCCTACAATGAGACTAAAACTTATAATATACTAAATGCTTCTTGGACACATTTCTAACTTTAATATTCTAGCGATCCTTTAGAAAGTAGAAAACTTTGACATAAACTCAATTGAAGATGAGACTTTCGAGCCCAAATTAAATAACTGATTCTAATTCTAATAACCTTCTTTAGTTGCGAAACTTAAATGGCGTTTTCAACTAAAGATCGCTTGTTTTTTAGTATGTTTTACGGTGACGTTATGCCGTTCAATCATAAAGAATTAAACACTTCTCCAATTTACACAAGCCCTCATATACTGCTATCGCAGAAATGCAGTGAAAACTGGCCCAGTGTGCATCGCCCTTAGCTATCAAACTGTACCGTTCCAACGTAATGCGGTGTTCGCTCTCCTGCATCTATCATGAGCGCTGCAGTATGTCCCCGTCTTTACCTAACGCATGGCCAATCACAGAACTGGTATGAAGACTGCCAGTACATTACCATACGTAGACACAGTGCGAGCGCGGGAAGTTCAGCCGCTTATGCAACTTCATTTGTTCTGCGTTCCATGTTATTGGCAGCTGCTGTATGGACTCGACACGTAGTTATGACCGCTCGCAACAGATAGCCGATCAAATAGTGCGTTCAACAGACGCCGATCGGGACAATGGACTGCCGAATTTCGATAATACATAAACGGTATTGGGGAATCGGTTACGTCTTGATGGACCGGCCAAAATCATTTATCGTTCATAAATGACGGAGTAAGGGGGTAACAAACATTAAAAAAACTCATGATACGTACATTTAAAAAAAAAACTCAACCTACTTGAGAAACTTCTTTTTTGAAGTCAGTTTAAAAGGGAACCAATAGCGAAGTGCCGTTGCTGAATACTATCTTAGAACATTCTTTTAACACTTCACCGCAGTCTTTAATTCATTAAAATTCACAATCATTTTTATTATTGTGTTGCATTGCCAACAATGACTCGTAGTGTATCCATGTACCTTCGTTGCTGCCAGTGTTAACTTTTCGTGTCGTTAATAATCATAGAAGTCTGTCTAATTTGACCGGAGACTTCTTTGACTGGTCTAGAGGTAACAGTTGCGGTCTTTATGCTCCTCTGCAGATGCTCGGCTACCCATTTGCACACGTGTTGCGTGTCCTTGGGTGGTGGTAATCGCCTTAGATCATGCGAATCCTACTCTTGTAGGCGCTAGCTTGTGACATAAAACACCGAGTAATAAATTGCATGAACCCAAATAGAGCATAATTTTCTCCTTACGGTCAAACCTGTCGGCACCAAGGCGGCCTACAAGCTAGGCAAGAAACTAATTCTTGATAAACACTCAAGTGGTCAGTCACGTTATATGCTTGCTTGTTGTCCCAATTCCTAGAGTATGCGAATCTTAATCAGTCGAGGCCAGGGGCTTAATCTACGAACTAGTTCTGCTGACTTAACCGACAAACGAGGCGAGGGGTTATTGATACGTTAACGGCCGTACGGCGGCGACAAAAAAAACCGCCAGTACTTACGATGCACCGCGCACGTTGCATCCGATGCATGACCGTGCATGCTCGGGGGGTCGTCGACCCGCGCGCAGGGGACACGTGGTTTGAGGAAATCCGGCCGCGGGCGGAATGGGGCTCCTGTGGGGGTGAAGACGCGCGTATCACGACGGCTATTGTGACATCCAATGGTATAGGTTGCGGTTATCACTACATATAAATATATAATACACTACACATAATATACTATACACAAGTATAAAACAAAGTCGTCCCGCTGTCCGTCTGTCCCGGATCTACGCAACGGATCTTGATGCGGTTTTTTTGCTAGATAGACTGATTCAAGTAGAAGGTTTATATCCTTACTAATATTATAAAGGCGAAAGTTTGTGATGCATGTTTGTTACTCTTTCACGCATATACTACTGAATGAATTTTAATGAAACTACACTAATATAGCTTATAAATCAGAATAAGACATAGGCTATAATTTATATACATATTTTATGAATATCTAATATGTCTTTATGTCTTAATGTTACACCTTCAGCCTATTCTACGCAGACGTAGTCGCGGGCAGCAGCTAGTGTATAATACATTGCACCCGCGCGAAGACGGGGCGGGTTGCTAATATATGCATATATATTATACGACCTTATTTATATTATATCAAAATATGCGTACAAATATGGATAAATTCGCAACGACCTCAACTTATATTTACAGCTGCTGAGCAAAGCAGAGGATGTTAGGGCAATGCTAGCTCAAGTGCGGATTGACAGGATTCAAATTAAATATTTTTTTTTTAAAAACATTGCCCTTACTTTTAGGATAACACTATCCGGTGACAAACACCCAGATGCGGAACAACTATCTGTGGGTCACACATATTTGTGTGACCCACAGATAGTTCTCCCGTGTGGGAATCGAACCCACGACCCCCGACGCCGAAGCCAATACCTTTGCAACTGCGCCACGGACTCATCAACATCCCATACAACGGTCAACAAAGATCATGTCTTTGTTCAACATACGTTACACTCACTTATTGATTGTCAAAATACTATTAGGTACCGATTCGGAAAAGAAAAGCTGACCTGAGAAGAACCGGCGAAAGAAAGTCAGTTTTGAGTTTCATAAGACCTCCTAACGATCCCAAAGCGAACGAAGTTTTTTTGTCTTTCGATTCCATTGCGATGTTTTCTATATTCATGATCGGCCGTTCCATTTATCTCGCGAATAAGCCTTGCTTCGCTTGTTCGCTTAGCCGTGACCACGTGGTCTTTCCACACGTGCCGGTGCCGAATTTAAGCGGCGGTTAATTCTAGAACCGATCCCTCTCAGGGCCACCTTTGCAGCATTGTCTCCGCGTGATTACCCATGTTGGCTCTTACGCACGTGACCGTTTAGATTGTAATACGAATTTTAGGCTAGGTTGGATAGTGGATTGTTTTAGCGTTAATTGATAGTTTTTAGGGTTCGGCGTCCAAAGGGTAAAACGGGACCCTATTACTAATTCGCTGTCTGTCTGTCCGTCTGTCGGTCACCAGGCCGTATCTCATGAACCGTGATAGTTAGACAGTTGAAATTTTCACAGATGATGTATTTCTGTTGCCGCTATAACAACAAATACTAAAAACAGAAATGAAATAAAAAATATTTAAGAAGGCTCCCATACAATGGGCATGTTTTTTTGCACGGAACCGTGTTGGCTGTTTTTTTTTTGTTATTTCAACTCTTTACGTGTTCACTTTATTTCGCTCGAGTTCCAGTTATAGATTTTAGATTAAATGCGATGAATTTTGAGTTGGGTTGTCAAAAGATGCAAATAGGATCATTTGGAATAACATAGAATTGGCTACGAAACTAGAAATATTTTGTCCCAATACCTCGATTCTAATAGACTCTTAAAATAAATTCAATAAACCTTTAGATTACTGTTTAAAAATGAACTAAAGGGGAATGTTGCTACCAAATTTTTATGTGTGGGGATTTGTAATTTACATCGTAAGAGAACTTAACATGTTAATGATAATGAATTTTAAATTGTAATGATTATTAAGTTTTCTATCGCTATAAACAAAATGATATTGTCTCATGAACAAAATAGAATTTAAAATGTAATAGGTGATAGTAGATACTGTATAGTCAAAGGCCCGTAAATCCTGTCACATGTAACCGCAGAATGACGGAGAGCGACATAAAAGGAGGGAAAATTCTACAACAAAAAAAAGAAATCGAGAGATAACAATTCATAACGATAAGAGGCACTACCGTCTGTTGGAACTGGCATAATTAATCGGATAAAATTAACATATTATATTAATTAAAAATGGGGTTCCTGCTAACATGGTAATGTTCACGACTCTGGAACGGCTTTTATAAGAGTTTTCAGGGTCCGAAATTGTGTGTTTAGTAAATTGATAATACAGTTATTATATTCGATTTTGCACGAACGATTTGGCTCGTCTCAAGAAGAAGGTTTTGAGCTGTTGTTAATATGTGGTGACCGGGAACCACACAACATAATTTTGAAGATTGAATTAATTGTAGGACCATGCACCAACTTTCGCTTCTAAGAAGACCGGCCTGCAGTCGAGTTTATTATACGTTTCCGTTTCGTCTGGAGAGTGAGTTAAGGTGTGCCCACTATTTTAAAATCGTCAATGCATTTAAAAGTAAAAAGTAAAGTATCGGCCTATATATGTCCCACAACTGGGCAAAGGCCTCCTCTGTACAGAGCGTATCAGGGTATAGTCCACTACGCGACTCCACTGCGGATTGGCGGACTTCACATATCTTCTAAAAAGTTTTTTTCATTATTATTTCGAAAATATGCAGGTTTCCTCACGATATTTTCCTTCACCGCTGAGCACATGATAATTCAGCATTTAAAAATAACAATTTCATTGATGCCCGCACCGGGGATCGAACTCAGGTGGCTCGAGTATATTGAATTAAAGGCGAGCACCCAGACACTGCGCTAATGCACTTCCAAACCCAATATTTTTTACGATGCAACACGACATCTCTCTTAGCTGTGTTGTTGCGTAAAGTTTTCTCTCCCTAGCTTACCGACCGACTAGCGAACTATACCGAAGCGGACCCTCTGCTATAATAATTAAACGCTAGGCTGCCCAACGGCCGGCTGGCATGAACTATACCGCGCACCCGCGGAAATGTAATCGCCGACGTGTTTTTTGCTCGCGCCCAACCGTTTCTCCGACGGGCGTTACGGTTTACAGGAGCTTAACATCCAGGAAGCGGTGGTGTACACGTAAGATATAAAATTTTAGGTACGGACGCAGCGAAGCGGTCCTTGAACACACAGACACACACAAATATTATATATTTAACCTCAGAGTTCGCCTCATCATGCCTGGACAAGTTCAAATATATACATCGGAAATAGTTTTTCAAGTGTAGAAGTGCCTGCGACTACAATATTTTTAAAATGATATATTTCGTCAAATTAATATACTTCATCAAATTAATCCATTCTCCATACCAATACTATAAAGGCGAAAGTTGTATGTATGGATGGATGTTTGTTACTCTTTCACACAAAAACCACTGAAATAGATTTTAATGAAACTTTACAATAATATACCTTATACACCGGAATAGCACATAGGATATAATTTATAAAGATATTGTGTGAATGGTACAAAATATAGGTAATGATAAGTGTGAACTAAGTAGGAAAAAATTCAGCCATCTGCGAGATATTCTGGTGTATAATAAAACTCATTGTTATTAAGGTAATATATATTTCGGAACATATTTTTACACGTTATCTAGTCCAAAACTAAGCAAAGCTTTTTTACCTAGGGGAACTGATAAACCTACTTAAACGTACTTTTATTATGCAATAATACATAATAATATAGATAAATGAACATCGAGACACTATAAAAACATCGTGTCCATCACACAAATGAACCCTCTGGCGCAAGAGACAGGGTTACAATCAACTATGCCCTAATTGGAAGATAGAAAATAATCAAGATTAGAAAAATATGTATTAGCATCAATCTCATGGTATGGAATAGAAATTGGGACTCATCACCAAGTACCGATAGCAAAGCGAAAACGCGTCCGCGTCGAGAAATTCGGCGGAAAAGGCAGACAATGGAGGTCGTAGGGAATCGATCAACATATTTTCAGCCTGGTAGAGTCCACCGCTGAACATAGGCCTCATCAAAAGACTGCCACGAAGCACGATCCTGAGCCACCTGCATCCATCGACTTCCCGTACACTTGCACGGGTCGCCACTCCATATATTGGTCATCGTCTTACACTGAATCTAGCCGATCGAGCACAATAAAAGAGCTTAGGCACGCGGATGTGTTCACCGCTCATCGTCACGTTGCGTTGCATTCTAGCGAAAGCATACACGTGCCACAAGCGACGCGAACCCACAGCGCGAACCTCCAGGGTCATTTCTAACACAATCGAGAGCATCAATTCATAGTATGAAACAAAGTCGTCCCGCTGTCTGTCTGTCCGAATACTTGATCGTTTTTTTTACTAGATAGGGAGATTTAGGAGGAAGGTTTAAATGTATAACTAGTGACCCACCCCGGCTTCGCACGGGTGCAATGCAACATTTGTTTTCGACATCGCATTAGAAACCTCTAAAATTTTCAGTGTTCCTCCACTATGTTATGCATTAATTAAACATATAAACCTTTCTCTTGAATCACTCTATCTATTTAAGAAAACTGCATCAAAATCCGTTTCGTAGTTTTAAGATCTAAGCATATATAGGGACAGACAGACAGCGGGACGACTTTGTTTTAAACTATGTAGTGATACATGCATAATATAGTAGAGTATATTTAGTATCAGCACTGCACCCGTGCGACGGTGGGACGGGTCGCTAGTAATATATAAAGAAAACTCGGACCGCCGGACATTTTTTGAGTTCGTCAATTTCGCCAGCAAGAAAATCGTATCGCATATTCAAAAAACTCTAGCAATTTGCTCTCGAATAGTGTTTAATGTGTCGCAATGCTCCGGGGACAAACTCTAGAAGGCATTTATCACATCGAGAACAAAATGTCAAAAGGAAACTTGAACCACCAGTCTATTTTGGAGTGAGTTAATAAAGATAAAGATCTCTTATAGTGTTTTAGGGTTCTGGAAATGGGACGATTATGAAAAATGAATGAGAAGTCTCCCAAGATCGCCTCTAATAACGCTGAATGGTGAAA